AACGTAAACATTATGGATGGTCACGTCTCTAATTTAAATCAGGAATATATGAAGTTGAAAATTGAAAAATCATATTGAGGCTAACCTAAAAGCAGAAACTGTCGTGGCAGAAGTGCTCTTGGTCACTCCATAATTTTAAGTGTGACACTCAAATTGCTGCAGCAGTGACAAAGTACAAACAAGTTATAAATCTCCTCGGAAATGTAAAGTAGGGCTAATGGATCAGCTAATTAACAATTATTGGCTTCTTTTGTCAGACGTTCTTTCACTCTTTTTTAATTGCTTTGTTACTATGTCTGCAAGCAATGCCAAAAGGAAGTTTTACTCATTTGGAGATTTTGGTCTGAATATCAAGAAGACATGAAGAATCTTTGACCTTTGGTTCGGCTTTGCTAACAACTTCTGGTCCCATACTGGAGCTACGTGTGCAGGTAAAGGAATGAACGAGAGGGATGGGATGTCAGCCTGATTTATTGTGTGACCTGTTGATCCTCTTATATGTCCTCACGAACTAAGATGTAGGAATTGTTGAAAAGCGTGAAATGAGACCAACTGTGACAGTCCCGACTGTGCACTTTGCAGAAATGTTGCATATTTGAAGAAAATGGGGTGGGAGAAATATCTGAGAATCGATGATAAATTTCCCACATTCAAGGTCATCATTTCCGCAGAAACCAATTAATTATTAATCGGTAGTACAAAACAAAGAGATTTTTTGATGAAATTTTGAATAAATTTATGTCGAAATCCATGTGAATTTTTAATTTAAAACTTTAAAATGAAAATTCACCGATAATCAGCAAATAGAATTAATCCTAATGAGAGTAAAATCCAATTCATCGTTAATATTCTCAAAATTCTGCGAATTTTAATTTCTTTTCAGTTTGCACAGTGTGATCTGTTAGCACATCATACTGTCCAAACTGAAAAGAAATTAAAATCAGATTTTTTTAAATTTATTACTTTTGCAGGGACAGAGCTTATAATTTATCAATAATCAATCTGCAAGTGCTACATGTGAGTTACTTTCGAAATTTAAATAAGTAACTTTGAAATTAAATTCAGGTAATTTTCGAAATTCAGCTCATTCAGGCAGAAAAAAGAACAAATCGAGCAGCTATTTTTGCTCCTTCCTAGTCCCTAACAACTTTTAATTTCGATCAACAGAGAGACTTCATTCAGTCCCTAATTTCTTGGGACATTTTCCGCTAACTCTCTAACGAGACATTTGTGATGCTTCACTGAATTAGCTCTCAGAAACGTGGCTCCTCGTTTTATTGTGCGAGTATATCGGAAACAAATTTCAAAAGAAATTAAATTTCCGGCCCTCAGAAAATTCAATCTCTTATGTTAACGTGAAAAGCAGCTTGATAAAAGTATTTCCTAGAGCTTTTTATATTAGCAGCAGGTAGAACTGGATGTGAAATATGAACTGACAATCTATATTTTATATGTTTTAATATAATAACTATCGTCTTTCATCAGTGCAAATTACAGGTGTTGGAGTGGGTACCACCGGGACAAACGATCGAGGATTGCCTTATGAAGGGCAAAAGTCGGGTAACCGCCACAATCGTTCTGCTTGCAAATTGTCTGAAAGGAAGAGGCATGTTGCATGTTGCTTCCTTCTAATCCATTTCTGCTTATTTCCAGCTGGAATGCCACAATTATATTCGAGTTATGGTACGACAGTCCAATGGACGTAGCCTTATTTGTGGCACTCACGCATACTCGCCCAAATGTCGGGAATACGCTTATTCGGATGATGATCGCATGCTGCAACAAAGACGACAGTTCGATGGGCAGGTAAATTTTTCACTCTCTAATTTATTTCCTTTCAACTTTTGAACTTTCATTCTCCATCTTCTCCACATTTCATAAAATATTTTGTGGAGTTTTCTCGAAATTTACTCTCGAGATTTTTTTTCACTGAACGAGTACAACTCTTTCCTCATAGTTACAGTTAATTATTGCTTTCAGGCAATTGCACCTTACGACCCAAAACACAATTCTACCGCAGTTTACATCGCTGATGCCAATGAAATCTATACGGGAACAGTGTCAGATTTTGCTGGCAACGATCCACTTATTTACAGGAAAAGGTTATCAGATGATGAAGGACTGAGAACACAACGCGATGACCTTAAAGTTCTCGACTGTAAGTATGTCAGTTTCATGAAGATGGGCGATGGGAAATGCAAGCGTCGAGCTCATTTTTGTAAATTCTCGATGAGACATATTCCATTTGAAGTTTGATCTAACCTATTGGAGGAGATGTTTGCTCCTTCGATGGAAGCATTGTTCGGGAGGCTAGGATGACCCCAGCAATTGAGCTATTTTACTTGTGGTCTTTTCAAATTTTCTATCCATTATTACTGTCCATTATTCTCTGTTAGACGATCCGAAAGTTTTCACTTCTCTGACAGCGCCTTGGCAAAGTCCATTTCTTGAACAATTCTTTGAGAAATTACTTCACATGACGATCTGAGAGAGAAGTCGTTTCATATTCTTTTGTGTGCCTGAGAAATTATTGCTTATTTCCGCTGCTAATTTATTTTACAAAATTGAATTTCACTGAGACAGAAGCTTTCAGTATGCTTTTAACATTTTCTCTCATCTTTACACATTAACTGTCATAAAAAGATCAATGATACCTTCTTTCTAAAAGTGATTATTCTGACAAAAAGGGAGGAAGAATGAATTGTCAGCAAATTTTCTAATTGTCCCACCTGCTATTGGCATAATGAGCCCAGCAATGAATGAATGATATCTAATTCTCACTGAAATAAAATCCCGACCAGATGACTAACTATCTATTATCTCTTAAGGGAACGCTTATCGAGACACTCTTATGACGGGAAGTGATGTAATTTTGACATTGATGATAACTTATGCTGACCTCATTTTCATCCCACACAATCCAAACCAACCACCACATTAAGCACATTTTGAAAAGCGCACTATAAAATATTCCCTTCCAGTAAAGTATTCATTACAAAATATGTAAAATGAGTTGTTTCAAAACTGACCACCCTAGGAACATTGGATGGAAGGTAATTAGGGTGCTAAGGTCAAGCCTATAGTGATATCTTGTTGACTAAAATAATTCAAATCTAAATGCCAAAGACACATTGCGCACGTTCACAAAATCCAAATATGATTTTTGCACATTATTCACGGCTCAGAGGTCCACATTCCATGTTAGATTTAAGTAATTTGACATTGTATCTTTGATTGAATGAAATAATATCGGTCGATTAATTTACTGTTTATTTGTTTGCTCGTTATTGCAGCACCGAATTTCGTGGCATCATTTGTTTACGGCGATCATGTTTATTTTTGGTATCGCGAATTGGCTGCTGAAGCTAACGATGGCGATCGACAAGTACTTCCATACAACAATTTTAATATTTTCTGATAGAATTTTTAAATATTTGGAAGAAATGAGTTAACATATAGTAAAACAAGAAAGGCAGCAAAAAACTTCTCAAATTACCAACTATTTCATCATTTTCGCCCTCTTTTAATAATTTTGAAGATATGATTGATATGCTTTAAACAAAGTTCACTGCCCCTCCATTAAAATTTCTCTCAAAGTTA